ATTTGTCTAGGCAGTCGCCAAATGTACATTATGAGATAGGCTTTAAGAATGGCCATGAAGCTCCAGGAAAACTTACATTGTTATAAACATGAAATATAACCAGCCATAAAAGCCGTCAAAGATTTTTCCTGGAGAGATTCGGCTTGCTGCAAATTTCCTTCTAGAGAACTGTGGCTATATATTAAATACTGAGAAGATTTTGAATGTGTGAGGACATTCTCTCTCTCTAGTCTTATAGGATTCTCCTAGGCTATGTTAATTTCCAGTAATGTAGAAGATCGCTTACTGACATAAAGCAAAGTAGGGAGGAATATGAGAACAGTCAAATAAGAGAAAAACAACGCTTCATGGTTTTGCTTTTATTTCCTCAGATTGGAAACAGTTCAATCATGACTCAAAAAAAAACCCATACAAGAATTCAAAATACACACAAAGACAACCATTGCAGTGCTTCTGCTCAGGACACAGCCTTCAGGATAGAATAACACAAGGAAAAACTCTCTGCAGGCTTCACTTGCTGAAAGCAGATATAATGACAAAAGCTAAGACACGGCAACTCCAGGCTTCAGTGTAAAACCGTGTAAGTTCCCTTTCTGAAAGCATCTCCCCGCCCACAGAAAACTCCAGGCCATGCACCTATCTTCTTCCAACTAGGAAGACACAGAAAAATGCCTCTATATGCCCTAGGAAGCCCAAATGTTTAGTCAAAGTGATTACAAAACAAGTCACTGTCTTCCTCTAGGGAAGGTCAATGTCAGAGTTTGAGAAAGACGTGAAGACCGTGGGTAAATCCAGGGTAGACTGGGAGGCAGAAGCTGCAGCAAACTCAGTCCTGTCATAAGAAGATGGATGCAGTACTTCTTCCTGCACAAACAGACCTTTCCTCTGGCCTTGGGCCTAGAAGAACATGATTTTCTTGTACTTGGTGTTGGGGAAGAGGCCCTTCGACTTCAACCTGCGAACAGCCTCCCTCAAATGCTTGGGCTGCAGCGGCGGCGATTCTCCCCACATCTCACACACGTCCAGGGCCTCTTCCACCACCTCTCCCACCAAGACCTTGGCTATTCCAGCCATGGCAATGGCCACGTTCTCAGACACCGACCTGCCAGTAATAGACTGCATCAGACGTGCAATGCGTGCTTTTGGGAAAGCTGACCGGCGACACACTTCATAGCGGGCCAGCTGCTCCTCAGACATGGCAGACAGCAGGGTTGTCATTCTCTGAGCCTCATCTTCATCCACGGTGGGCTTCCTCTCCTTTCCTTTGGTATCTGTTTTCAGTCTTTTGGATGCCGGAGGAGCTGAGGCTGAGGCTTCCTTGTCATCTGCTGTGAGGTCCATAACGTCCTGACTCCTGAGCTTACCGGATGCTTCCAAGTTCCCATCTAGGTCCTCTGGGATTCCAACCTTGTTGCTGGCCTCCAGACCTCGAGGCATGGTGAACATCTCAGCAGACACACCTGTTTGCCTGCCTGTCTCCACGGCTGAGACGCGGATGTAGTCCATGGATCTAGTCCATGGCAGCGCTGTAGAGGCCGAACATCCAGCGGGGGTGGTTAGACTATGGAACTGCAACGAGAAAGTTTCAAAGACTTTAGCTGCTGTGTTTCTAAACTGCACAGAGTTTATAGCTCAGCCCCAACTGCACAGAGTTCTCTGCCTCCCCCTCCCACACACAAACACACATGCTGGTTTTCTCACTTCCGAAATGTGAAGAAACTTGTGGATCGAGAGTGTATTAGTTTAAGATCAATGCAGAATAAATTCTCATAAATTTGGGGACTTTAAAACAAACCTCAGCTCACAGGTCAGAAGTTCCACTAGGCCGAGGGATTGCCTCCTACTCAAAGTCGCACAAGGGACCTCCAGGGCCTGGCTGCGTGGNAAAGAAAATGTTTCTTTATCAAATAGACTGCTAGATATTCCTAAACGTGGCACTAACTTGAAATTGTATAACGTGTCTCTCCAATATTCATGATAGTTATGAAACTATTACAGAAGATCTATCTGCATTCATTTTATGAGAGCCTGGCCCCCTTCTTTGCTAAATATGAAAGTTATCACTCTACTTTGTATCCTTCTTCATAGAAAACATAATTCCATTAAATTATTATTATTCTTAAATTATTATTTAAACTTGTCTAATTGGGGTATAACATTTTGTTATTTGGTACTCTTGAACTTGTACTTTTGAAGACCAGACCTTAGACGCTATGCACTTGGAAACAGAGCAGATAGATTGTTTAAACTGTATTTGGCACATGCTGAGTACTTTTGTGAGGGGGCAAAGGCAGGCAAGCTCCAGTAAACTTACATTGTTATTAACATGTAATACAACCAACCATGAAAGCTGTCAAAGATTTTTCCTGGAAAGATACCACTTTCTACAAATTTTTTTCTAGAGAACTGTGGCTATATGATATTAAATATTGAGAAGATTTAGAATGTGTAAAGACACTAAATCTTCTCAGCCAATCCATTTTTTCTTCTCTGAAAAAACAGCACTGTTGTTCCGCTCCTGAATTGACCTCTGAGACCTTGATGGGAACTCGTTTCTGTCTTCGGCAGTTCAGGTTTTCTCAGACTCCATGAAAAGCATTGAGTTCTGTGGCCGGGGGCGGGAGGCAGGGGGTGGAGGGCATCAGATAAACGTTCTAGCCTTGTGTGTCCAATCACTACCCTCGCTGCTCTCTGTGGATGATTGTCACCACCTCAGGTTGCTTGGGCAAGGTTCTCTGTACTTCCAATGTTCAGAGAGTGCTAGGCCTGCCACATCTGCCAGAACACAGCTTCCAGGACTCCCCAGTGCCATGAGAAAGGAGTGAGCTCAGAGCAATATAAAGACAGGGAGACAGTGAGATCCTTGGATCTTACTTATTTTGGTTGCTCAAGCACTTCGGCCCTCCATGTCCCTCCGTCAGACCCACTAGTCTAACTCCTTAACAAGGAAGTTGGTAAAATGAAAGCATATTATTTATAAATCATAATATGGTGGTGTGAAATAGAGTTTCCCCATTCTTGGTAAAGTTCAAAAATTTCTATAATACTCACCCAATCAATGATGTTCTATGTACCAAAGTACTATTTTGAGAGCAAAAGCTAAGTTTAAAAGAAAGAAAGCAACACGTTTGGGGGGTATATTTGGCTTCAGAAAAAAATACTTGATGTTATTCTCTATTCAATATTAGAGCTGAACTGTGGGGGCTTTTAGATCCCTTTTGCTCGTACTCTGTGATTCAGGGGGTACATGGCAAACGGAAACAGACAGAAATAGCACTGTGGGTATCCGCGAGCTATGCTGGGAAGGTTCACAGTGATTCCATAATCAATCTCAGGTCTTTATTTTATGATGAATCTCAGGTATTTATTCCCTTAATAATGGTAGAGTATGTACAAGGCGACTACAGAATAACTTTATAACTCTGGATGAACCTGCTTTCTTTCACATCTTAATACTTTCTTTTCTATGTTTCTGTATTCAGGTTTGATTTTCTGAGTAGATCACCTATAGAAAGCATAAAATCAAGAATACTCTAAACCAGTGTTTTATACTAAATTTGGAGGGCTATAGGAGCACTGGTAATATCACCACATGAAGCAAACCTGCACGATCAATAGGCTCTCTCTCTATGTGTCTTTTAAAGTGCAGATGATCATTGCAAATGGGTGTTCACAGACAGGTGGTTTTCGGAAGCAAGCTGTAATCCCAGCTACTCTGGAGGCTGAGGTAGGAGAATCATTTTAACCTGGGAGGCAGAGGTTGCAGTGAGCCGAGATCGCGCCACTGTACACCAGCCTGGGTGACAGAGCAAGACTCCATCTCAAAAAAAAAAAAAAAA